TTTTATTGTATAAGGGATTTTTCTTCTTTCTTCAGTGAAAATGTGGGTCAGAACTTAGGGCATGAATTACTCCTTATTTAGACTGGTTGATAATTACAGGGAGTCTAACCTTTTGGCAGTATTTTAAAATGCTGGGACTGGGGTAGCGAATGATGGGGGACAGTGGTTGGGGCTGGGGAAAATATACGAATGTAATGGATTTATCTTTCTGGAAACTCTAGGATATAGAAAATTAGACCTTAGAGATTCTTGTGTATATTGGTATTTTGTGGCAGGAGAGCTCAGGGAGAGTAAATCACTAATAGTTACTGCTTGATTTTGGTGGCAAAGTCTAGGCCTTGGAATAAGACAGTCATGGGTTTGAATCCAGCTATGCCACTTACAAACTATATGATTTGGAGGCTGGTTACATAATATTGCGGAGCCTCCATTTATCTGTTAAGTGGAGATAATATCAAGTCTGCAGGGATTTTAAGCATAGATGTAATTTGTGTAATGTAATCAGTACCTTGTTAATTCTCAGTATCACATCATGGTTGTATTTTTGCCTGTCTTGCTGCTGGCCGTCTCAAAATGTTCATTGTATGAAGGCAGCCTGCACGTCAAATGGGTCTATAGACGTTGGAGCCAAATGTAGTTATCTGACAGCTCTTTTATTTTTTGTAATCGGGATGTAATTGACAAAAAACATATTAGTTTCAGGTGTACAAATAAGGATTCAATATTTGTGTATATTGTGAATGATCACCACAGGAAGTCTAGTTAACATCCATCACCACACACAGTTACAAATTTTTCTTCTTGTGATGAGAATTTTTAGGTCTTACTGTCAGAACAACTTTAAAATATACAATACAGTATTAAGTATAGTCACCATGCTGATAGCTCTTCATCTCATCTTGGGCAAGGTATGTAATTATTTCCTCACCCAAAAAGAAAGGATACCATTTATTAGGCTGAAATCGCCAATATTTGACTGTTTTAGACTTATGAAAATAGCAATTTCATATGATTCAACCTTAAAAATATATTGCTGTCCCCAGAATTTATTTCTTGCCCAGCCTTTAAAAACTCAGTCCCATATTCTGCATGGTTTGTGGTGAAGAATGGATATCAACATACATTAATTGAGTGAATGTGTGAATTAATAAATGAAAGTAGGGCTAGCCCTGGGGAAATCACATAGTGGTACATTTTTGTCCAAGTGAAGTCAGATGAAACAATGTCCAGGATGTAAACTTGAGAGGGAACTGAATTGCCAAAGCACAGCCTGCAGGAGGCGTGTTTCATGGGGGGATTGCTAGAGAACTGAACAGCCACACTATTGCTTTTGCTTTGGTCATATGAGACAGGATGTGGGGAGGCAGGGATAGTTTAACACCAGAAGCAGTGTCTCCTCCTCTGTTTTCTCCTTCTTGCCTTGTCTCCAGACTCTGCTATAGCCAGTAATAATTGCTTGAATTTCTTTCCAGTCATTCTACTCCTAACAGTAGCTACTACTTTAAAGATGAGACCATAAATTACTTAAGTAGCATCACTATACATTCTAAGAGTCCTTTAGTCCAGTATGGCATATTCATAGTGTTGTTTGAACATTAAATGCTGTATTCAAATGAGGCCCCACTGGTGAGAAACTGTCTATTTCTAGGAAGTGTCCTCTTAGTGAAGACCAGTTATTCAGAGCTACTGCATTTTAAAAGTTAGGGCTAGTGACCCAGGAAATGAAGGAAATGATTTGATGTTTACCTTAAGAGCATAGGATAACAATCTTTGTGAATTTCCTATAGCACACTTCTTGCTACACCCAGAATTGCTCAGATTCAGGGAGGCTGATTCACCTCATTTAAGACTTCATGAGACTGATGTATTTAACAAAGGTGGGATCGTTTTTTCTAATGACTAGAAAGCTTACATTCCTTGTTCAGGGCCTCCCCTTCTGCTCAGTTAGTAATCAGAAAAGGCTTCATGGAATCGGAGCCTTTGTGGAGATTTGGGGGTTTGAGGTATCTTTCTTCAAGTCTGTGGTGAAGTCTGATGGTTGCCCTGTTACAGAGCACAGTTGACCCCTGAACAACAAGGGTTTGAACTACGTGGGTCCACTTATACATGGATCTTTTTCAATAGTGAATATTATAGTACTAACCACTCATGGTTAGTTAAACCCAAGGATGTGGAACCTTGAATAGGGAGGAACCATGTACATGAAAGGAAGTTGTATGAGAGGATTTTTGACTGTGTGGAAAGCTGGTGTCCCTAACCCCCCACTGTTCAAGGGTCAACTGTATACATATGGCTCCAACAACAGGAAACTTCATCAATTTCTTCTTGTGGACTGTACCAGATGAACACCGACAACTTTTGTCTTTTTTACCCAACAATGTTTTACCGTCTGAAGTGACATCTCCTTTCTATTCTCAAAGTCTCCTTTCATTTAAGATACAATTAGTTGAATAGATTCCTGCAACTAAATGGCAATGTTGATTTTGCAGATCCATCTCTCTGAGTTTGTACCCAGGCTTCGTTGGCTGGAGTTTGGAGTGAACTCAAGCTCTTCAGTTGCTCTTTAGCTCATACATTCTTGATTTACTGCCACAGTTAACTAGGAGCATGACTTTGTGCACAGATTTTGCTAGTTGAACTCCCAACTGAACTTATTTCTAAGTGCCTGGGAGGCACTTCCCATTTGTTTGCATTTACTACCAACAAGCAATCACGTGAGGTGGTTCTCTGGTGTGTGAGGGGAAATGGAAAAGGCATTGGAGGACAGTCAGGCGTTAGAGTAAGGAGCATCATCATCCTCACAATGCTTGTTGTCTTTCCCCAGTCGTCAGTTTATACCTCTCCTTGGACGCTCTGTGCTCTCCTGGCACTATGATAATCACAGCGCTTACCAGGTGATATTTGCTGTCACTGTCCATGCTCCTGTCTCCGCAAGTAGCTCAGTGGTTCTCAACCCTTTTTTTTTCTACTACAGTTTTTCCAGCTCTGTCTCTGGGTATAATTTAGTACTGTTGCTTTTTTTAAGGCTTAAAATGTACAAATAATAGGTGACAATTCTCATTGTAAAGGACTCAAACAATAGTTAAAATTAATTAAAATATTTTATATATATGAATATTTAATATTGATAAGATTTTTTTAAAAACAAAGTCCTGTGTTGGAATAACAATTTTAGCTTTAACATCCATAATTATTCATTTATTCAATTATGGAGACTGTCAGCATCATATCTTTTACAGCGTCTTTATGGCTGGGCCTCCTTCCCTTTCTAATATGCTTTTAGAACTTGTAAAGTCATGTCTTCTGGCTAAGAATTGGAGAAAATTAAGACAACATTATGAATAGTTAGACATTAAAAATGCTATTTCTGTTACAATTAGTGTTTAAAGAACGTATTTATTCTTCATTGAAAAATAAAAATTTTTCCCTTTAAGCTTTGTAATCATTTAAATCAAAGTGGTTTTTTTTTGAGAGACTACCTACTGCTCTTGAATTACAGGCATTAACTATTGCTGTTACATAACCAGTGTCTTACTGTTTCATGGTGGTATTTTTATTATTATGGATCCAAATTCTCATTGTGAAGGAAAAACCGGGCTGGTCTAACAAGATAACTCACAAGTCTAGGAATGTGAAGGAGAGGCTAGGCTGGGCTAACAAGGTAACTCACAAATCTAAGTATTGGAATACTGATCTGAGTTCTGCTAGACTAACTTGTAAATCTAGGTTAGTTAGTGTTGGTTTGCTGTTCATGTTTTTTTGCTAGCCAGCTGGATTTTCAAAGATATATATCTGGCTTTGGAATGTTGGTTTGCTGCCTCCCTGCCTCCACTTTTGTGATAATAATGCTGCTAAAGCTGTTCCATGCCTACTGGCCGAATACCCCAAGCTTGTACTTTACCCTATAAAACCTCATGCGCACGTCTTTGAGGTGCTCAGAGCTTCGGAGCAGAAGCCCCTCTGAGCCCGCTGGCGTAATACATCTGAGTACTCCAGCCCTCCGAGTGGTGCTTGTTTCTTGGCTGGCCTGTCGTTTCCGTAACATCATTCTGCTTTATTGCCTTAGGCATTTTTAATTAGTTAGGTATTTTAACTGGTTTGTATCTGAGAAAATGTTATACTTGTTGTTTTGTCCAGAAATACTGCATGTAAATTTTTCTAAAATGATTTTTTTTGTTGAGAGCTCTCCTATTTTTTTCCTATAATGATCTGTCAGCTGAAAATTTAGTATCACTTATTTTTCCTGAAAGCGAGGTATCACTTCTTTTACATTTGCTTTATTCTTACACTATCTCACCATCTCATCTGGGATGAAGATAAGGAGCCAGCAGTCTTTTTATTCTAATTAATTTCACAAACAATAGTGAATGTCTACCATGTACCAGACACTTCCTTCAACACTAAGTCTTCATAGAGGAATAAGAGAAGCCAACAGGTAAACTCCTTAATGCCATGCTGTGTGACCCGTGCTACAGCACAGATGATAAGGAGGGTGGGTGGGGCACAGGGGAGGACTGGCTGGCCGCGTCCACCTGGGAGCTCAGGGAAGCTGTTTAGAGAAGGTTGGTCTTTAGCTGAGTCTGTAAAAATGGATTCATTTGTCAGGAATAAGGAGGAAAGGACATTCTAGGCTGAAGGAACCACATGGACAAAGCGTGGAGAGGTGAAATAGTATGGTGCTTTTGGGAAATTAACTGAGGCAGAGACTGGAGGACAGTACTGTTTTCTGGAGTATATTCTTGGTGGCTGGTATACCTTTCATAGTAGAATACATTGTGGACAAAATAAAATGTTGACTGGGGTTATTGGGGTAATTATGAAGGGATCTATGTGATGATGGCCAAATAAATGAAACAAAATAAATACAATATAAAATAAATAAAATTAAATACTTTTCCTCAAAATTCCCACAACTGTTTGTCACTGGAAGTAGAGTTGTTGAAGAGACAGAATGCAAACTAACTGCTGACTGATGGTGTTGTCAGTTCTCTTCCCAGCCTCCCTGCATTAGCCCAGGACCATGTGGGCCTGGGCACTGTGGATGCTCCCTCTACTCTGCAAATCTGGCCTGGCAGGTAGGTCAGCCTATGCCCTTTTGTGGATTATGTGATTCTTTTTGCCTTCTTTGGATAAGAATTATGAACTTGAGAGCAAAGGGACACCTGGACATGGGGACACATGCATGGACAATGGGGGATTTGTGACGTCCCTGAATTTGTGTGTGTGCATGTTGATATGTACTTATGTGTGTGCAGATTTGGCAGGATGGTCTACCATATTTTCAAAAGGAGATACAAACCCCCAAAAGTTCAGGATTCACTGTCTTACAGTAATGGTAGGTACTTATCTTGATAGTTTTTGTGTCAAATGCAGTGGTGTCATATAAAATACACACAATAATACATACAATTTTCACACTATTTGCCATAAATTCTAAGAATATAAAGGGAAATGATGAAACAATGTATTTCTACAATGGTCCAACTCAAAACTATGAGCATATTACCCATATAATACCTTGCAGATCTGAAATATATTACTTTGATCACACATTATGTTTAAAAAAAAATTAAGACTGGAGAAAAAGAAGTGGGGACTGGGCCCTGGGAAGGTCGAAAAGTTATGTAGTATACCTACTAGTCTTCTCAGGCTGAAATAACAAAATATCACGGATTGAGGGGCTTAAACAACAGGAATTTATTTTCTCACAGTTCAGGAGGTTAGAAGTCCAAGATCAAGGTGCCTGCAGAGTTGATTTCCTCTGACATCTCTCTCTTTGGCTTGCAGATGGCCAGCTTCCTGCTGCCTCTCCACATGGTCATCTCTCTATGTGCCTTAATCTCCTCTTGTTATAAGGACACCAGTCAGATTGGATTAGGGCCTAAACTAACAGCCTTGTTTTAACTAATGCCTCCTTAAAGGCCTTATCTCTAAACAGTCACCTTCCGTGGTACTGAGAGTTAGGGCTTCAACATCTGAATTTGGGGGGAGAAACACAATTCAGCCCATAACATGTAGTAACCAGGGGTCACCCAGAGGGCAGTTGTCATCCAGAGATAATGAGAATGTCTTCCAGACATATGTCCTGGCATGGCCTGCCTTGTAGCTCCCTGGGGTCACACCTGTGGCACTCTGGGGCTTTGTAGACAATACGAGGAGGTAGGCCTGTGTCTCCCCACCTCATTCAGTTACTCCTGGCCACCTCAGAAATCAACAGTTGCTCCCAGTTACCCAATTTAGAGTTCTATTTATGAACATCATGATACCTTTCCCCTCAACTTGTCTTTTCCTATCTTCTATCTCTGTCTTCTCTTCTCAGCACCCTTTACTCACACCATTTCCTACCTAACTGTCCCCAGTTTCTACGTTACTTCCTCTAGACTCTTTCCCTTGGTCTCAGATTTGCCTTTCTTCTACTTCAAAACATTTTAAAAATACTAATTTTTCAACAACACGAAAGTGATACGAGCATAGAGGGAAGAAAAGAGATGGAAAATATCTTTTTTATTTTGAAAAATATTCCTTTTGCATGAGGGAGATTCTCTGATAAGCAAGAACATTCTCCCAGTCTTTCTTAGAAGAAAGCTATGAATGTATCTCCTTATTTCAAAAATAGAGGCACTAGTTATTTATAGAAATGTAGTCATATTGTTATGTCTTTTTTTTAAGATGTGGGAGAAGGATAGATGTGTGTGAGGGTCAAATCTAGCTTTCAGTTGTCCATTTAAAAAAAACAATTTTCTTTTCAAATAATTTTAGATTTACACAAAAATTGTGAAGATAGTACAGAGAGTTCTTACATACCCCTTGTCTAGTTTCCCCTGTTGTTAATATCTTACAGTACCATTTTTGCCAAAACTAAGAAACTGATATTGGCACATGACTGTTGACTAAATTCCAGACTTTACTTGGATTTTACTAGTTTTTTCCTTAATGTTCTCTTTCTGTTCCAGGATCTAATTCAGGGTAGCACATCGCATTGAATTGTCACTTCTGGTCTGTGACAGTTTTTCAGTCTTTTCTTATTTTTTATGACTTTGATAGTCTTGAGGAATACTGGCCAGTTGTCCTGGGGTTTTGTAAAAAATAGAGCAGAGGTGAAATGCCCTTCATTGCTCTATCACAATTTTATATATATACATATATATATATATATATATATGTGTGACAGTCTTCTGATGAAGAGTTGGTATTCTAGTTAGAAGTCAAGCAAGACTTAAAACAGGCACATTGGTTACCAGCAAGTAGAAGGACAGGACAAGAGACATGAGCTCTGCCAGCCATGGCAGCTCTAGTACGTACATCAAGCCCTGTGTGGGATCCACACCAGATAACTGAGGCTACAAATGGTAATTATAAGTAAAGCAAGATAGTGTAAGTGAAGCCTAGTATTGTTTGTAGATTTGTTTCCTTTTTTATTCCCATTCCTCCTTGACTCCCTGATTTGTGATACAACAAATCTAAAATGACCTGAGATACATATGCAGAATTAGAATGTCATGAGAACACACAAGAAGAGGGAAAACTACTGTTAAAGTGAATTCCTCCCTAAGTCTTAGTATCCTGGGTTTTTAGAGCAGGCTATCTATTTTTTACATTAGTCAGGAAACATTGTTTATGCTGCAAAAATAAACAAGCCTAAATCTTTGTGTCTAAGACAACAATCTCTACCTGTCTATCACAGGTCAGCAGGGACCCAGGCTGATGGAGGCGCTACCATTCTAAAATTCCCACCATCTCAACATGGATTTATAAATCATGTAGGGGCTGAGGGAGGGAGAAAGGAGAATCAGAGAATCACGCACTAGCACGTAAATGCTCCTCTCACATCAATGGCCAAAGAAAGTCATATGGCCATGCCTAATTTCAAGGGGGCAAGGAAATAAAATCTTCCCATGTTTCTAGGAAGGGGGAATATTGATGAGCACTGGAAATATTGCTGGGAATTCATTTTATTTATCACCCATCTATTCTGTAATACCTGCATAGGGAATCAGAATATGCCACCCCAAAATATACCACTTTGGCATAAGGATTATTTTGGTCTTGGAGGTAAATGAGAATCAATAGGTGCAGAAAGGAAGACTTTCTGCAGCTTCCTTTATCTGTCTAAAAGCCAAAACTCCTGAAAAAAAAATAAGGACTGCCATAGATCTTCTCTCCCAAGAGTTTTATAGTCATGAAGAAGACAGAAAGTCAGTGCCAGGATGGATCTGCATACACAAGCCTTGCTCTATAAGTCCCCACATATATTTTACCTTTCCACAGCTTGCCACCCTTCAAAGCCTAAATTCCTTTTTCTTTATCTTGTCACTTCTCTACAAATTTGTTGGGTTTTTGTAAAGATGCTGTCTAAGCCCAAGTTTTAACCACCCCTTTGAGTTTTTCTTCATTGAGATTTCTCCTACATGAAGTGCACTGCATGCATTAACATACTGTTTACCCTTATTAATCTGTCTTTTTTCAATTCAGTTTTCCAGGTGTCCAACTAGAGAACCTAGAAGGGTAGAAGGAAAAATAATATAGCTCCACAAAAGAGCTCAAGTGGGGTAGAAAATAATTTCTCTTCTTCTGATACCTTGTGACACTAATGGTCCTGGAAACCAGACATTTGACTCTCTTCTGGCTTAGGGCTTTTATGTAGATTAATCAGTGCTGTGGAAGGAGCTAAGGAGAGGTATTCAAGGAAGAATAGTAAAGACCAGGGTTCACTGAGGTTTGATGGGAGTCTGTATTGGATCCATGAAAATCTGTTTTTACTTTGATTTTTTGTGGGGCTGGCTTTGATTCAGCCAGTGCAAGGTAGAGTGAGAATGAAGAAGGAAATAAAATAAAATATGACTATAGGGTCCATAATGAGACTTTTCTGGGGAGACAGGGAAAGGCATCTCATTTCATTTTCCAACAAACGATCAACCCTAAAATCCTGCTGAGAAGTTTATGTGAGGGGCATTATTGAAATGGAGGTTGGAGGCAGGCTAATATTGGACAACTATTTGTAAGGAACTTGGCCAGAGGACTAAAGACAGACCCATGTGTACACACAGACACACAGCCAAAGTCCCTGAGCCAGGGAGTGCGTCGACCAGTATGAAAGTCATTCCTCTGGGAACATTGTTGGCTGACAATTGTAGGATTTTGCATGTTTCCCTGGCAGTTGTGAAGTGTGGAATCTGTAAATTTTCTGCTTGCTGACTCAAGGAATCCTCAGGAGAGTTTCAAGCTATGTGGGCTGCTTGAAAAATGCATTACCGGTCTAGCTTCTAATCTCCACATAATATGCAGTATTATTTGGTTCAGGTCCAGTTAACGTTGGTCTTTGTAAGCATTTGGACTTGGAGATCACCAGCTTTGTCATGGCTTTCAGCATGCAAGTAGCATAGATAGAAAGTGTTTGACTTAACTGTTGACTGATGGGTGCTGTCAGGATTAGATTTGTGTGCAGGACTCAGGAAGGAAGCTTCTCAGGCAAAAGCTGGAAATGTTGGCACAAAGTGAAGGCACCTTGCTCTCCCTCACTCTTAATTGTCATTCCCTGGGGCTCCTTCTATGTGGACAATGCTCGTTTCATAGACCATATATATATTTTAACTGAAGTAGAGTTAGTTTACAGTGTTGTATTAGTTTCTGGTATACAGCACAGTGGCTTGAGTGATACATATATGTGTGTGTATATATTTCTTTTCAAACTTTTTTTCAGTACAAGTTATTACAAGGTATTGAATATACTTCCCTATGCTCTACAGTAGGGCCTTGCTGTCTATTTTATATATAGTATTTAGTATCTACAAATCCCGAACTCCCAATTTATGCCTCCCCCCAAAACCCTCCATAACCATAAGCTTGTTCTCTATGTCTATGAGTCCGTTTCTGTTCATTTGTGTCATTTGTTTAGATTCCACATATGATTAATATCACCTGGTATTTTTCTTTCTTTCTTTGGCTTACTTCACTTAGTATGATGATCTCCAGGTCCATCCATGTTGCTGCAAATGGCATTATTTTATTATTTTTTATGGCTGATTAGTATTTCATTGTATATATATACCACAACTTCTTTAGCCAATCATTTGTTGATGGACATTTAGGTTGCTTCCATGAGTTGGCTATTGTAAATAGTGCTGCTATGAACTTTGGGATGCATGTATCTTTTCAAATTAGAGTCTCCTTTGGTTATATGTCCAGGAGTGGGATTGGTGAATTATATGGTAAATCTATTTTTAGTTTTTTAAGGACTCTCCATACTATTTTCCATAAAGGCTGCACCAAACTACATTCCCACCAACAGTGTAAGAGAGTTCCCTTTTCTCCACACCCTCTCCAGCATTCATCGTTTGTAGACTTTTTAATGATGGCCATTCTGACTGGTGTGAAGTGAAACCTCATTGTAGTTTTGATTTGCATTCATAGACCAAATATATTAATGAATATATAAATCCCAAAGTCCTAAACCTGAACAAAACAGTGAATGCCACCTGTCCTGGAACACTTCACTACTGCCTTCCTCTTAGAATGTATTACCTCTGGCAGTGGGGAGGATATAGCTCAAGTGGTAGAGTTCATGCTTAGGTTCATCCTGGGTTCAATCCCCAGTGCCTCCTCCAAGGAGAAATGAATAAACCAAATTACCTCCCCCTCATAAAACAAACAAACAAAGCAGGATATGTATTACCTCTGACAGAGTTGAAATGCATACAGTATTAGTCAGATGTGCAGAGAAAATTATAACATCCTTATTTTCTATGATTAAGCTAATCAATTTCAAAAGTCCCCACTCCCTTGGAAAGCCATGCAAGGCTAAGGAAGGTGATTGGGTGGGTAGCACTTACGTTTGTTACTACTGTCTCAGTTTCTTCTGATTTACAGCGTCTTTCAGCTAATTCAGTCTCCCTGGGGTAAGTGTGCACTTAACCAGAGTTTCTGCCTTTACCCTGATCCTCCTTAAGGTGGTATTTGGGTATATGAACAAGGTTTATGTGACTTCAGAGTCTTGGGCAAGGGCTCCTAAATCCATGTGAGTAAGACCTTGTGTTGCTATCTGTTCTTCTCTGGACTGTCTGCTGTGGTCTCATCCCTCCTCTGCTGTTTGCTGTGGGGCAGCTGGCTTTGCCTGGGCTTTGGGGCATCATGCTGGCACCTACTCCAGAAGTTCATGCCCCAGTCCTTTGCCTGTGGTCTGGACGTCCCCCTGTGCACAGAAATCTCTTCACCTGAATCCCAGGCCTGGACCAGCCCTGCAGGTCTACACCCACACCCACCCCCTTACCCTGAGACACTGGGGACTTCTGGATCCCTGCATGGTACACTGTACCTGTCTAGAGCTTACCTGAACAGCTGGCCCAGCCCGCCCTCTGCCAGTGCAATGTTAGAACTTCCACGTTATGCTGAAACAGTAGGCTTCATCTAGGCTTGTCACCTCCCCCAGGCTGTGCCTGGCAAAGTAGGCACCAGTCCAGATGACTTCGGTTCATCAGACTCATCTGCACGTTTGTACTGCTCCACTGAGAACACTGACATCTGAGCACTTTGCTCTGTCTTACTTCCACCCCTGCCCCAATATTTTATTTGCTAGAAGTGATGGACTTTTTCTTACTTCTTGCCTGGTAGGGATTTCCCTCATAGAAGCACTAGAGATTTGCTTTGTTACGTAAGGGTAACTTAAGAAGTTGCCTTTCTTTCTCAAAAATGCCTGCTTCTTAAGAATATGGTCTTACCAGTGGCTCAGAAAGAAGTTAGTTGGAGCCTCAGAGCTGAACATTGCCCTTAGCTTAAAATAGTCCTTAGTTCTTAATTGTGTGTATGTGAGCGTGTGTGCATGTGTACGATGAGCCCCTTGGTCATCTGGTGAAGCCTATGGACCACCTCTCAAAGTAATATTTGTAAATTCATAAATAAGACACACAGGGTTACAAAGGTTCCCTAATATACTGAAATGACATTATTAAAATATTTTAGAAACAAGTTTGTGATGTAGTAATATCTATGTGCTTATTTAGTAACACATTAAATAAGAAGACCTAATAATTAGTTTGGTAACAGTGATGATAGTATTTGATATTTCCAGGTATTACAACAACTGAAATATAATATGAAAATAACTGTCACTTTTAATGGTGACAAAGTCACAAGTAGTGATATTACTATGGGTTGTTAGACCCCATTCACAATGGAAGGAAATTGTAAATTTCAGCAATATGTTAGTGAAAAATAAAGACGAAAAAATTTTCCCCACTTAAATTCATGCACTCCTGCATTCCTATCTTGGGCACCTTGAGGGTCTAGATCCCAGTTCTAGGTGGTAGTGTCTGCTCTTTCTATGAAGGGATGGATGTTATTGGGTGGGGAACTACAAGGAGCAAGATTTTGAAGACATGAAAATACAGCTGAAGATTTTTCAGAAATTTTCTCTATTATACAATCTTTTGAGGAAAATTATTGATACATAGGGTTGAAGTAGGGCATAGTTCAGCATTTTGCATTTTTCTCTTCCCTGCCACGTCATCCATTGCCCAGTTACCCAGAGTGGTTCTATCATTTGTTGCTTTACTTAGTATTTCATTAGCACTTTCTGTTTGTCTAGTGTTTTAATACAGTTTTTGCTTCTCAAATGTTGCTTTGAGTAAAAAATATATAAAAAGTATTTTTTAAAAAGTAGCAATCTAGGTTTTCAAAGGGAATAATTGAAGAGATGGAGTTAGATTCTCTCCATGGCCCTAATTAGGAGGACCTTTTATACCTAGTAACTAACCAAGAAATTCAGCTTTCAATCAGCCTGTTTTCCTCAAAATGTTCAAATGTTGGCAATATTTATCATGTACTGAAGTTACTGTGTTTGTATGTGTTTTTTTTTTAGCTCTGCCAGCTAAGCCTGAAAACATTTCTTGTGTCTTATACTATATGAATAATTTTACTTGCACATGGAGTCCAGAGAAAGAAGACAATTCTACATCATATATAGTTAGCAGAACTTAGTAAGTATGGGAGCTTGTGTGCTGTCAGTGGGAGTAAGGGGAGGAGGTAGAGGCTCCTGGTTCATTCATGACTCAAGTCACTTTTGAAGTAAAATGTTTCCTCAATTATAGCTTCTGGGTGACCATTATTTGCATCCAGTGGCTGGGGGGACATCCTTGCTGACAGGATCAACAACCAGAGAGGGCAGGGAGGTACAGCTGCATGGTGACCTCCTAGAGCTGCAGGGTTGGTGGAGATGAGTCACCAGTTATAAGTACAGTGGGGAAATCTGCTTATATATTATATTTAAGTATAGTCCTCCTCTGTCCAGAATGTGTTATAAAATTGCTCATTCTTTGTGAATCCAGATATAGTAAATAGGGTTATAAACCAGAACTAAGAGCAGATTTACCTCAGTCTGCCACTAATTTCCTGTGTGACCCCTGAAAAACAGTATTCCACCAGGACAAGGATGCCCGTTTTTTGTTTTTTTTTTTTAAACTACATCAAGCATTGCTTTCTATTCTAATTCTATTCGAATAAAAATTATAATTTCTTAATTATAATTCTAAGCAAAAGCTAGATGTTTTAGTGTGTACGGGCAGGGATTTTTTGAAAGTTAAAAAATGGCCCATTACATCCTTCATGGTCCCCCAGGAATAAGGAGACCTGTGCTGGGAACTATTGAAAGATGATCTGTAAACCTTTTTCATTTCAAAAAGACAGCCTGTAGTTCCAAGCTTTTGTTTTGTTTTTAAATACCAGATCTCACGTGTATTCCTTTTTTTTCACTCCTTGGAAATTAGTAACTAGTATTATAAGGGAAGTTCACCTTGTATTTCACAGTAGAAGAAAGGGGGAAAAAAGCAAACAATATTCCTTGTTGCACTGATATATCAATGAATATGTCAGAGAGGTGATTTAAAACAGGCCAGCAAACTTTTTCTGCAAAGAGCCAGATAGTAAATATTCTAGGCTTAGAGGGAGATGGGTCTCTGTCAAAGTGTTCAGCCCTGCTGCTGTAGCAGGAAAGCTGCTATAGACAACATGTAAACCAGTGAACTCGACTGTTTTCCAATAAAACTTTATTTGTGAATCGTGGAATTTGAATTTCATATAATTTTCACATGCCACAAAATATTCTCCTTTTGCTTTTGGTCCCCTCCACAATCATTTAACAATTTAAAGCCTGTTCTTAGACTGTGGGCCATACAAGAAGAGGAGGTGGGCAGTATTTGACTTGCAGACTATAGTTTGCTGTCCTGACCCTGCTTTAGAAAATAAGAACGATAAAGGCCCAATAATCTATTGTCCAAATGACTTATCTTCTCCTAGACTTACTGGCTCTGGACCCAGTGCTGAATAGGAAATACCAGTAGAATGAAAATCTGGAAACCTAGACAGATTTAGTCCTATTTTTCTGTTTTAAAGAGTCATTTTCCCCACTTGTATCACTCCCTGTGGATGGTCAGAATTATCACCAGCTGCTCACGAGAAGCAGGAAACCCTTGGGTGTCCTCAGGACCTGCATGCACAGCCCACCTTGATGACCCCAGGACTGCATGTGTTTTTGTGAGCTTCTCACTAAGAATATCTCTTCCAGGCAGAATAGAAGGATTTCGTTGTGGGTGGTCGGCCCTGAGAGCAGGTTACAGTGGGTCAGTGGGATGAACACAAAGCCTACTGGTGCCTAAGAACAATAGGAATTGATTTTTCCTTGGGGAAGAAAAAGAGAAGTTGGGATGCCTTCATGGAGGTAGTAGTTTTTGAAATGGAGACTTGAAGGAGCTCTAGAGGTACAGAGAGAGGGAGAAAGGGTGTTTCTCAAAGGGTACAGCATGAATAAATGCAAAAAAATTCAACCATAGTAATAGTACTAATAACAAAAATAATAGTGTCTCCCATTTAGACTATGTGCCTGACATTTTAATGAATTAGCTCATTTCATCTTCATAACAACCCTATTTTACTGTTGTATTACTATTCGTGTTTTAGGGATGAGAAAACTAAGACACAGAGAGGTTAAGAAACTGGCCCAAGGCACAGGGTTAACAGGGGCAAAGCTGAGATTCAAACCTGGTCTGCTTCCAGAGCCTGTGCTCATAACCACAACACAACATTACCCTGGAGGCCTTTTTGTGCTTTGCTCCCTCACCCCCTGCCCTTGTAAACCCTTACAAGGTGGGCCTCCTTTTCTGTTCTCAGCCTACCTCATCTCCCACATAATCCCCAGAGCAATGTGGACTATAGCTGTACCCTCCCATCTGACTCCTACCCATATATACTTGTTTTCATTAAGTACAGCTTGATGAGGTTTAAATGATCTATCTAGGAAAATAATTTTAAAGAGTTTTCTGGGAACAATATATACCAATGGCAAAAAATTCAATCTGAAAAATATAAAGAGTGTAAAAAATCACCCAAAATCCCACCACCAAAATAACAATTTTTAACATTTTGATGAAGACCTTTCCAAACATTTTTAAGAATAGTTATATAAATGTATAAGTTTATATAAATGTGATCATTCTGTATATAATATGAATCCTTTTTTCCAGCAGCAATAGAGTACAGGCATCTTTCCATATTAATAAGTATAATTGTATTAACAACTATCATTATATTTCTATTTATGTGTCTACCATAGTTTATTTAACAAACCCTCTTTGATTTTTTAAAAAAATAACTTCTCAAGGCTAGACTCAGAGATTTTCAGGGGCCTATTAATTACTTCTTACCAACAGGAAATGCATTGTATGAGTGTAGCTTTTGATGGACTTACAGGGTTCTAAGAAGGTCTCCGTGGTAACTTTTATCTCTCCTTGGAGATGAGGAAAGAATTTGGAGAGATGGGCATCAAATTCTGGACTATATAATTTTCAAGAAAACCCTGAGTGAAACTAAAAAATACATGCTTAATATATTAAATATGGCTACGTTTCCAAACTGCTGTACTAAACTCATGTTGAATCACCTTTTCCTTTAAAGCGCTTATGGACGTAAAAGGGATACACGTAGTCCTCCAAGTGAAAATGGTACTTCATGCTCTTTTTTTCTTCCAAATATAACAAGACCAGATATTTATACCATTCAAGTGGAAGCTCGAAATGCAGATGGTGTCATTCAATCTGATATAACTCGTTGGAATTTAGATACCGTAAGTAAGTGCCATTTGATATTCTTACATACTCTTTTATTAAAACATACTCCTTTTTTTTTAAAGAGATATCTCTGGACTCAAAACCAGACTCAAAGCTCAAGGATATAATAGGTGTGTTACAGATATACAGAAAACCTGTCTTATTGAAGAAGGAAGAGAAAGAGGGAGGGAGAAAGAGGGGAAGGAAGGAAGGGAGAGAGGGAGGGAGGAAAGAAGGAAGGAACTGACCATATGAAAAAAAATGAAAAGAGACTTTTTGGTGGTTCCTGATTTCCTCTTGCAGTTTGTACCATAAATTATACTCAAAGAAACAGAGTGTTTCCCACTTAAAACATTATTCTCATGTAGGAAAAGAAAGTAAAACTCTTATTTTTAAAATGTCTAATTCTTACCTTTTAAATTCTTTTTCAAAATCTCATTTTCACTATATAATTTTTAAGTAGCAGCTTTTGTGAGATATAATTCACATGCAACAAGGTTCACCTTTTAAAAATGACAATTCAGTGTTTTTTAAAAATCAGAGTTGTGTAAACATTACCAATATCTAATTCCAGAACATTTTCATTACCCATCTAAAGAAACTTCATTCCCATTAACAGTCCCCCAGTCCCTTATTTCCACCTTCCCCTAATCTCTGCAACACCACAAATCTATTTTCTGTCTTTATGGATCTGCCTATTTTTGATATTTTATGTAAATGTCACGATACAGTATGTGGCCTTAGTATCTTATTCTTTCACTTAGCGTAATGTTTTCAAGGTTCAATCCATGTTGTAGCATTTATGTATGTATACTTTGTTCCTTTTTATAACTGAATAATATTCCACTATAGTGATATACCACATTTTGTTTAGCCATACATCAGTTGATGGACGTTTAGGTTTTTTCCACGTTTTGGTTATTAGGAATACTGCTTTTATGAACATTGATGTACAAATTTTTGTGTGAACTTATGTTTCAATTCTTGACTTGAAAAGTGTTTCCTGGTCTTCTATTTTTTGAAAGAGTTTCTGAATTACAAGTGTTACCTTGTCTTTAAGCCTTTGATAGACTTCACCAGTGTAGATATCTGGGCCTAAGATTTTCTTTTTGTAAAGTGTTTGACCAGGGTTTCTTTTTAAAACATTTGTTAAGAACTCCCTCTGGAAGGCTTACCTCACACAGCAAACACTGGGTTTACCTCTTGATGATGGACCTGGAAGGGGCAAGGTTATTCACTTTTTAAACATAAACTTTATTATTATTATCTTTTCTTTCTTAAAGTAAATATGTATTACTTTAGCAGTTAAAATTATTAAAAATAAATTCTGTCACAAAGATAACTAAAAAAGAAAAACACATAAAATCCAAAACTTCTATCCCTCTTTCAACTAGATATAGTAGATATTTAAATATTCTATAACTACCACTGATTAAAACTTAGAATGAGAAGGAATTTTGGTCTAAATTAGTAAAACACAGATTTGTAAAATAAATCTCTGAAGAAATTTTGTTTTTATAATGTATCATCTAGGACCTGGTAAAGTGTTGCTAAGTACTGAGATCTATCAAGAAAAAAAAAGATTAAGAAAACAATCCTACTTATAATAGCATCAAAAAGAATAAAATACTTAGGACTAAATTTAACCAAGGAGGTGAAAGGTCTATACACTGAAACCTATAAATAAAAGAAATTGAAGACAGAAATAACTGAAAGTATACTCTGTATTCATGGATTGGAAGAATTAATATTGTTAAAATGTCCATGTAACACAAAGCAATCTATGAATTCAATGCAATCCCTATCAAAATTCCAATGGCATTTTCCAAAGAAATAGAAAAAAAAATTCTAAAATTGATATGGGACCACAAAAGACTCTGAATAGCCAAAGCAATTTTGAACAAGAAGAACCAATCTGGAGGCATCACACTACTTGATTTCAAAGTATACTACAAAGCTATAGTAATCAAAACATTATAGTATTGGCATAAAACCAGACACAGACCAATGGAACTGACTAAAGAGCCCAGAAGTAAATACATGCATATATGATCATCTGATCTTCAACAAGGACACCAAGAATATAAAATGAGGGAAGGATAGTCTCTTCAATAAAGAGTGTTGGGAAAACTGGATATCCATATGCAAAAAAGAAAAGAAAAAAGAAATTGGACTCATATTTTACACCATACAGAAAAATCAACTAAAAATGTGTTAAAGATATAAACATAAGACCTGAAATCATAAAATTCCTAAAAGAAAACAGAGAAGAAACTCCATGACATTTATCTTGGCAATAATTTTTTTTTTGGGTAAGACACTAAAAGTACAGGCAACAAAAGTGAGGATAAATAAGTGGGATTATATAAAACTGAAAAAAAAACCTGTACAGCAAAAGAAACAGTCAATAAATGATTCTGTACCCTGCAGAATGGGAGAAAATATTTGCAAATCATGTATCTGATGAAGGGTCAATATCCAAAAAGAAATAAGAAACTCCTACCACTCAAAAGCAAAAAAAAAAAAAAAGCAAATAGTCCTATTTAAAAATAGTAAAAAGACCCAAATAGACGTTTCTCCAAAGAAGACATACAGCATACAGATGGCCAACAGGTATGTGAAAAGGTGCTCAACATCACTAATCATCAGGGAAATGTAAATTAAAATCACAATCACTTCATACCTTTTTGAATGTCCATTATTTAAAAAGCCAAAAGATAAATGGTGAGGATGTGGAGAAAAGAGGACCCTGGTACCCCTGGTCAGAATGTAAATTGATACAACCATTATAGAAGACAGTATGGTGGTTCCTCAAATAATTAAAAATATAAGTACCATATGATCCATCAAATCCACTTCTGGCATTTATCCAAAGGGAATTGAAATCCAGATCTCAAAGAGATACCTGAATTTCCATGTTCATTGAAATATTATTCCCAATAGCTAAGATACAGAAACAACCTAAATGTCCACCAACAGATTCATGAATAAAGAAATTGTGATATATACATACACTGAAATTAGTGTAGGTTTTTTTGGAAAGCAAAATGGCATTTCATGGGAAGCAGCCCAAAAAATGTTTATACACTTTTATTTAATTATTCTATCCTAGGGGATCTAAGGAACTCATCAGTGATGCAGACAAAGGAGCAACTATTATCCACTTATCTATTCACTTCATAAATACCTGATACACTTCTAAGTGTCAAGTGTTAATTCTAGGCTTTGTGATCAAGATCCAGCTTCTATTCTCAGGGAGGTTTAACATGAAAAACTGGGAGCACTATGTGCAGTAATAGAGAAAGGGTCAAATGACTCTTGTTTGTTCATAAGCTAGAATATTATGAAGCTTTGAAAAAATCATGTTTTGAAGAATTTATAATGCAAGAGGATATTTCCTTACTTTGTAATTTTTTTTAAAAATGACAAAAGCTTTATTTAGCATAATATCAATTTTATTTTAAAAATATACAAATTCTTGGGGGGAGGGCATAGCTCAAGTGGTAGAGTGCATACTTAGCCTGCAGGAGGTCCTGGGTTCAATCCCTAGTACCTCCATTAAAAAAATAATGAAATAAATAGACTTAATTACCTCCCCTCCAAAAAAGTATACAAATTCTTGCATGGTAAAAAGCCTGGAAGTTCACCATAGTGCTAATAATGGTTATCTCTGGCTGATGGCAAAAGTTTTTCTTTATGTTCTTTCTATATTTAAAAAAATTTTGGAATGAGCATATGTTACTTTTCTAACCAGGAAAGAAAACCCATTTTCAAAGAGAGATTTGGGTGAGAATGTTTGCAGTGTTCAGGGGAAACGACAAGCGCTTTCTACTGGGCACTCCTTCCTCCTAGGGATCAAAGAAAGAGAGGCTGAGGGGAGGAAAGGGGAGTGAAGGGGAACAGCCCATTTTCTGGTCCTGTAGTCTCTTCATTTTACCTCGCTTATTCTCAACATAAGGTCTGACCCAGTCAGTAGAAGGCCGATATGCAGAAAAATCTTAGGAATATCTCCTCTCCTCATTAGACATTCTTTTCTTGTGAGGATGGGAGGTGGCAAGCATTCCTCTTGCACTAATGCTATTTGCATACAGCAAATCACAGAATATGTACTATAATTTTCTTCCTAGGTTTTTTTTTCCAATTCTGGGTCAATATTATTAGTACTTTCTGATCTTTTTGCAGATATGAGAACTGTGTGATTTTCATTTTCAGTTAAAACCGAGCCACCCAAGATTTCCAGTGTGAAACCAGTTTCGGGTGTTAAACGAATGGTTCAAATAAGATGGATGAGGCCTGTATTGGCACCTAAGTCATCTAATTTTAAATACATACTTCGATTCAGAACAGTAAACAGTACCCACTGGGTAAGTTAAGCCATTAAAATGTTTCTATTATAGAGCCCAAATAAGAGAATTATTGACAACTTTTGTTGACTTGGAATCATTTTTTTCCATTTTCTACGTTGAAAATAGAAGATAGACAATAGTCAATACCTTTCTTCCTGGTTTCCCATTTGGGCCTTTTAGATGGGAAATGGCCAAGGGACAAATGAAAAAAGTGAGAAGTTAACTTTTGCATTCCACCCTGGTTTGTGTCTAGCTTTGTTGGCTGCCAGAAATTCAGTGGCTTGGCCATTTCCTTTTCTTTACTTTTTTTTTTTTTTGCCATTTCCTTTTTAATTTTTCTAATGTTTCATGAAATTGTGATGTATAGCACATGTTTAGAAAAGTGAATAAAACATATTGCATTTAACCAATTATTATTAAATCAGTACTCATGTGAAAACCACTGAGGTAAAAATAGCACACCAGAGCCCCCATCTACCTTTTCCTGATGACACAGGCTTCCTGCCTTTAGAGCTAAGAATTACCCCAATTTTCATGGTAATTACTTCCCTACTTTTTATTATGGTTTTTACCATGTAAGCCTGCATTCCTGAACAACGTAGTTTGAGACATTATATAAAAGGAATCCATACATTTTGTATTTTCTTTATGTTTTGCTTCTTTCTCTATATATTGTTCTTTTAAGATCCATTCATGTTATACAGTGCTGGAGTTTGTACATTTTCATTGCAGTGTAGTATTCCTTGTATGAATGCAATAGAATCATGGCTTTAATTTGCATTTAACTCACTTTGAATGAGGCTGCATACCTTTCCATGTGTTTATTGGTCATTTAGAGTCCTTCTTGGTGAAGTGTTAATTTAAGCCTTTTGCATGTTTATTCTGTTGGATGATCTGCCTGATTTTAATTGACTTGTGGGAGTTCCTTCTATATTCTATTTGTGAGTCCTTTATTTTTTTTTTAATGTGTATTTAAATATCTCTCACCACATGGCTTGCCTTTTCACTCTCTTAAGTGGTAACTTTAGATAAACAGAACTTCTTAATTTTAATACTGTCAAATTTTATCAATCTTTTCCTTGAAGTTTAATGCCTTTTGTGTCTTAAGATATGTTTTCTTACCTTACCGTTCAGAGATAATTCTCATATATCTATCAATGCAGTCTGAAATTATATCAACTTTTTAAAATAACCAACTTACATTATTGATTCTTCATCAGCTCCTAGCCAATTAAATCAGTTAAATCTTTAAGACTCCCCCCACACACACATGAGATTTTCTAGTAAAAACATCTTCACTATCTTACAACTTGTTTGTTTTTAACCTAAAATTCTGCTGCTTTATTTATTCCTATTGAATTTCTTCATGTTGGTCTTATCCACCATTTCGGCCTCTTTAGAATCTTTATTCTATCACCCGAAACTTGTAGTTAACTTTCTACTTGCTAACTTTTCAATAAAACTTATAGTTAACTTATTACTTTATAACTTTTCAATATCTTCAGATGTGATAACACTTACTTCTGTACTTTTATCTAATCTTCAATCAAAAAGAGTGACTATGTCAGAGCCCATCCGGAGGCATCAGCCTCTCCTTTGAGTGTGGTCATTTACTCAGGCGTCTTTGAATACAGTTAGTTATCACCAAAGTCATTCCACCTACTTTTTTTTATCTTGTCCATGAGGCCATCACTAGACTTTTTCCTTTGCTGAAACACGTAGATACTGTCTATTGCATCCTCTGCTAGACAAGCACTCTTTTAGAAAAGAAAAATTAGTTAAGTTTCACTTGTCTTATATTCAAGGCAAGAGAAATGATGTTTACTCTTCCTCTCAGCTCCCTTTCTGTGCCAGCTTGGATCCATCCTCCTAGGACTGACTATGTATAATACAAGACCCATGGATTTGTAGTTTCTGGAACCCAGAAGAGAACTCCTAAGCAGGGAAGTTCCCAGCACAGCATAAGCTCATTTCTTTTGTATCACATGTCATGGTCTCAGTGAGTCTGAGGAACCTCTGGAGTGATCTACTAGCTAGCAACCCTTGATTTCTTTTATTTATCTGGAACCTGAGTCCTGTGACTGCTGGGATAAAATTCAACAAGAAAAACAAGCCAGGATCTATTCCCTCTGGAAAATTACTAAACCATGCCCAATACTAAGCGAGGGCAGCATATGCAAACTACCCCAACTCTAGTATTCTGTCACCTGCCTCTTTGGTAAATTCACCTACATCTGCCCTCATCTTTGCCTCCTTCCTTCCAATCCCTTGAAGAGAATATAAACTTCTTCTTTCTCTCCTTGAGAAAGTGCAAAGGGAGGAAAATGGAATGTGCAGCCTGTATCTCTCTCCTTTCAGCTTTCAAACACGACCAAGTCTACTCAGTTTTAAACCCAACTAAACTAACCCAACCTTCTGTGAATGGTTCCCATCCCATTATCAGTGGAAAAAGGCCCAAATGCTTAACCCTCTAAAACCCAGCCCCTATTGACCTCTCCAACCTCATCTTACATCTTGCCCTGGCTTCTCTAGTAATCCTGAATTGCTAGGTTCCCTTGTGTCATGTCATTTCACTTGTTTGTGCTTCTGCTTAGAACACTCTCTGCTTTGTACCTCTACTCTTGCTGTGAATCTATTCATCTCTCAGAATTCGGGTCTGACACATTTCCTTTTGAGAGTCTGAGCTAGGTGCTCCTCCTCTGTCATTGCATGTAACAGTCATTTCAAGTCATCTTCCCCAGCATTAGACTATAAGTTTCTCAAACACAGAGACCTTGATTTTCATCTGTCTTCCCATTGCCTGGCACATGTGCTTAGTAAATGTTTGATTAAACTAAACCATATAAAAACTAATTCTGAAATCCCCAGTATGTCCATATAGCAAGATTTGTGTTTGTATATTGCTATAAGGTTTACAAAGTGCTTTTTTAATCCTTGCAAATATCCTATAAATGAGGCATCACTATTTTTATTATTACAGATTAGTAAACTGCAATGTAGAGAGCTTAAATCACCTGTCCAAGATCTCAAGGTTTGTAAGTTGCAGACTTGAGCCCAGGTTTTCTGACTCCAAGTTCAGTCATTCATTTGACCATACTTTAGCCTGCAAACCGCCTTCCTGTGGCCCTAGTGTCAAGAATTTCCACCTTTATAAAATGGAACCATGTGAACACTCTACAAAAGGCTCTCAAGACTGTTTTAAGGGTTTGATTCAGGCTCTGCTCCAAAATTTCTGACTCATCTCTTAAGATACAAACACTTTGAATAAGCTAGGATTTGGCACAAGTATAGATTATTAGAAACAAACCTGATAAAGTTAATTAGTGTTTTGGTCTGAGACTATTTCTTGCGTTGAGTTGGGGAAGTTTTAGGTTTAAGCCTGTATATGGAGGATCAATTGATCCTGGACCCTGTGAGGGCCAAAGTCACATAGCCTGGACAAAAAGCCACTTTGAAAGAACCTTAGAGGCAGTCTGTTTGGAAGACAAGAGCTTCTCTTCCCCATTGGGGCTAGGGCTGAGAAGAACAGGCTTGCACAGGAACATTAGACAGCAGATCCTGAACCTAAATGCGAGGAGACCCAGCAAGTAGGCCAAGAGTGTGCTGACAGCACTAGCAAAGCAGGAGGAAACATTTGAAAGATTTTTTTTTTACAAATTATTATATATTTTTTAAAGCATGAAAAGTAGAATAGAACTTTTAGACATCTTCACACATTTTATGAATTAATATTGTTTTTATTTTGATTTATGTATGGAGGGCACCAAGTGGCTGGACTTCTACTAAAGGTCTTAATCTGGCTTCAACTGGTTTTACCCATAAGGTAAATTGGGGAGGCTAGTTTCCCAGAGATGATGGATTGTCCCAAGTTATAGTCCCAACAACCCTATTCTACTAGTGCATCATCTCCAGGGGCTGTTGAAGTCGGGTTCTCAGGGAACCCAGGATTCAGCAGCGGAACTGCTCTCCACCTCTGGATGCTACTTCCTTGCTCTGACACCATCTCACTAGGCTGGGTGTTCAGAACTGTCCATCTGTAGCTGGGATTCTCAGCTTTTGGCCACATATGCACATCCTCATTTTGCCAAATTTCCTTTAGGCCCAGGACCTATTTTCACAGCTGTTATATATGCATAAGAAATAATAGAACTTCCTTCTCTTCTAAGGAAATATTGTGCATACTCACAAAATGGACATGCAGTTTATTTTTATTAATCAACTCAGTATAAATGTATATAAAGCAACAGCTAAAAGTTTATGTTGCAGCAACAATGACCATACTCAGAAATACATAACTGAGTTTTTAGTTTCTTTTGCAGAGTTGAGTCCATAAGGGACTTTAGGGATTCTATAAAGCAACATACTAATTTTACTAATGAGGAAACTGAGGTCTAGAAAGGAGAAGTGATTTATTTATCTCTCCCCACTCCCCACCCCAGGGCGAGAGTGTCAAAATGAACTTATACATCCAGGTTGCTGAGATCTTTAGCATCTTGACTGGTTACCTGCAGACCAATAATTTGGAATGGAAGACTTAGATAGAGGGAAAGAGTCTAAGGGTGGGGCAATCTGTGCTCTGATCCTAGTTCTGCCCATTACAGATGCTGAGGTAATCCACGATAACTTAGCTTTGTTTTGTCCATGGGTTTTCTCCATGACATGAGGAGGAACTTAATTCTGCAAAGGTCTCTGTTACCTACTGTTCCTTGAGACCTTGTTTCTAGGCATTGTTGTTTCCTCCAGAGTTTAAACTGAGGCCCACATTGCCCTGGATCCCAGGACTCCACCTTGCATCTTTTAGAACAGCAAGACTCTGCTCACTCACATCCAGCCCAGAAGCAGGAATCTCTGCTTCACAGGCTTAGAAGTGGGAAATGGGGAGGGGTGGTGGTTCCGAGTGACTGAACTCTGTTTAGGTGCTAATGGTCCCCAGGTGTGTGTAAAGTTTATTTATGAAAATTATATATTTTAAAAATTGAGCGACAACACTACTAGTTCTGAAAGGGTAAGACAGGGTTGGGGAGTAGAGAAGAAAAATGGAAAGATAACGTGGTCTCCCATCTGGCTTCAGGGTTGTCTCTGTCTTTTAGGTGGAAGTCAACTTCACTGAAAGAGAAGTGGGTAAAGAAGCAGCATACAACCTCACAGGGCTGCAGGCTTTTACCGAGTATGCCGTAGAGCTGCGCTGTGTGACTGAGGAGTCAAGGCTGTGGAGTGACTGGAGCGAAGAAAAAAGGGGAATAACTGAGGAAGAAGGCAAGTTGGTCCCTCGTAATTCCTTTGCTGTTTACTCTGGTTTAGGACGGCCTAAGCTGAGCCTTTGTGGGTTTTGCCACATGCTGTACTTGGGAATTGTGGGATCCCACAGTCCGGTGTGGCCCCTTCTATGGGGCCACTGTGCCCACCTGAGCCCACAGGATGAGCTGGCCCTTCTCTGACGGCGTGAGTTATGTTAGTGGCTTTTTGCCCTCAAGGCAAAAGATCACATCTTTAATCCTCATATAAAGTTCTTATAGTATCTATGAAATGGTATAATATGATTTAAAGGTATCCTATGATAAAGTAAACATATATATTGTAAACCTTGCAGCTACTACTAAAAATAAAAAGTAAAGATGTTGTCTACTGAAATAAAGTCACACAACATGAGAGTTTGGGTCAAACTCTCATTTGGGTCAAAATGAGGATTATAGCCCAGGAGACAGCATCTCAGATAGCTCTGAGGAACTGCTCTGAAGAGGTAGAGGGGAACATCAGTATTATATGTGATCTCAGTGAAGGGGGATACGTGCAGTCAAGCACACATTTAGGCAGAGGCTTGCTGCTAGTCACCAGAACAGATGTCCCCATTAATGATTTTAGTGCTTTTCTAAACATGAGGAGATGCAAGAATTTGGGCTCATAAAGTCTTCTCCTGAAAATATCTAACTGTCTGAAGGCCTGTTCTGCCAGTTTTCCCAGAACACAGAGTACCTCCTTCCTGACCTCCATCCTGAACTCCTTTCAGGGTGTGTTGGAGGTCAGTGGCTGCAGTGGATTATGATTTAATCCAAGCAGAGGTAGATGGCAAGTACCAACGTGATTCAGTCCTTGTAGAGGCAGATGGCAAGTGCCAATTTTTAGTTGGCAGTATAACAAAGAAGGAAAAAAGTCACATCTTTAATGATACTGAGAGAAGGAGTGAGAAAGGGATTGCACATTGGTTGAGTGCTTGCCCTGAGTCAGGTATAGTAACTAAGAACAGTGCTTTGAGTCTGTGGGCTTGGTATAAATCCCAGCCTGGCTCTGGAGTGATTTGGGGCAAGATACCTCATCTCTAAGCCTCAGTCTCCTCACTATTTATTTTCCATTTCCATAACAGAATATAATTTGTAAAATTGAGTTAATAGTAGTACTTACTTTTTAATATTATTTTAAAGATCAAATGAAATGATATGTTTAGCCCATAGTAAACATTTGATAGATTCCAGATTTCCTATTAGTATTATGCCTAAAAGCCCCATAAATTATGTAGAATCACCCCCATTTGCAGGTGAGGGAGCTGAGTTTACCAGCTCCCAGTTGCTCAGGGTCACTCAGCATGTTAGTCTTCTCTGTAAATCAAGAGCCTTGCCCAGTCCCTGATCCACAGTATGGTCAATAAATTTGATGAATATATTAGTTTCCTTTGGTCACTGTAACAAATTGCCACAAACTTAGTAGCTAAAAGCAGCACACTCTTTTTTTCCTCTTATAGTCTGGAAGTAAGAAGTCCAAAGTCAGTTTCACTGAACTAAAGTCAAAGTGTTGGCAGGGTTGTCTCCTTTTGGAGACTCTGAGGGGAGAATATATTTTCTTGCCTCTCCCAGCTTCTAGTGGCTGCCTGTATTCCTTGGTTTGTGGCCCCTTCCTATGTACAAAACTTACTACTCCAATCTCTGCTTGTGTTATCACATTACCTCCTTCTCCTTTGCTGTGTCAAATCTGTCTGCTTCCCTCTTATAATGACCTGTGTGATAATATTTAGGGTCCACCAGGATAATCTCCCCATCTCAAGATCTTCACCTAATCACAGCTACAAAATCCCTTTGACCATATAAAGTAACACTTACAGGTTTTAGAGATTTGGACTTATATCTTTGAGGTCTATTTTTCAGCCTAATACAATAAACGAATGAATGAATGACTAATTAAATGAATACTTGTTGAAGGCCATATATCTTCTGAAATATGGAAAAGAAACATGAAAATGCTGATCCTTCTAACCTTCTGAGGCTTCAACTTTGTCTGTAGGACGTGTAAGTTTTAGACTATGAATCTGTGCCCCTGCCCCTCCTCAACCTCTGGCATGATTTCAGGCCCTTCTTAGTCAGTCTTACAACTAAGTGCCACACTGGTCTCGGGTAACATGTGGGATCAGCTTCTATGCTCCCTGGTCCATATAACATAATTTTATTCCTCTGGATCCTGGTTGAGTTGCCCCTGAGACCCAAGTTGGTATTAACAGATGTTTGATATGGTCAGATATCTGGAAATAATCTGGTGCTTTCTGAATTGTGTATCTCCTATTGGAGATGCTCATGCTTAGTCTGGACTGTTGGTAGATGTAGTTACACAACAGGGATTCATTGCCACATATGGGGAATTGGGCTAGATGGCTTCTGAAGGCCCTTCTCACCCTAAGATTCCATTCTTCTGTGCCATTCAGGCATCCAGGCTTCCATGCCAGGCTGTAGCAGTACAGGAAGAAGTTTTAAAAAAATCCCTAATCATTATGTGTTTAAGTTCTTAGAATAGTGCCTTACAAATGGTAATGGGTATAGAAATTTTAAATAAATAAAAATACATGCATGGTTAAAACAAAACTAGTCAAGGTGTGGATCTAATGAAACTTTTGATTAAAATTATAGACAGCATGTAGGAACACATTTATATTCTATGGGTATCATCTCAAAGTTTTCCAGTCCCAAAACAAATATAACAGTTTACAAATATCGAACAGCACATAAAAATGGCATGATGGTTATAATTTTTTGGAGTGCTCAGTTATTGCTGCCCTGTGTCTCAGGTGAGCCCTCCCTTTTAAAATATTAGGACGGATGCATGCATTATCATTGTACAAATTGTCCTCTCCCTTTGCCACACCTTTCAGCAGGCAACCTGGGAGACTGAGTTCTAGCCCGGGTCTGATCTTGTTTTGTATACAGGTCTTCTACCTGTAGCTGACTCTTCTTTCCAGTGACCTGCTGGTGTCCTGATGGCTCAGTGTCAAGTTAGCTCATCACAGTCCAGCAACTCCCTAATGACAGTTTCATCCAATTGTTTTGCTGCCAGAATTGATTTATCCTTTCAGTAGATTTATTATGTCAGCTAGCTTGGCTAAGATTGATTAGCAAAACACTGGAAGCTGGTGTTCTCTGTGCCTTTTACTAATTAAATCAAATAAGCTTTTATCAAAGTCACCACTAGAGAATTTTGCTTTTGTTTTTCTTAATTTTTTCAGAATCTAAGAAGAAACTGATGAAAATATACCCCCCACCCCCAGCAAATCCTAATTTCTCCTTTTTTAATTCATTAACTATTTGTCTCCCTATTTAAAATGCCATTTGTTTAATACACACCACCTCAAACCTTTTCTAATTGTTTGAAGATTTCTGTTCTAAGTTGAATGTGGAACACTACCTATTTGCTTTTGGATTTCAGCATATTGATTATTAGGTTTATTTACCCATGATTAAGCATATAAATACCTACTACATGAAGCAGATATAATTATATTCAAATCCTGGGTTTATTACTTTAAAGTTTATGACATTGGGCAGTTATTTCACTTTTTTGTGCCTCAGAAATGGAGATAATGGTATTGGTGGACCTAATTGTAGGGCTCTGGAGGTTAAATGAGATAATTCAGGTAAAATGCTCAGTACAGTGACACTTGCTAAAAGTTAGCAATTCTTTGAGTTGGTCTTCAGCAGGGGCAGCAGGAGGTGTCTGAGGTGTTGATTGGTGGTGGTTGTGGTTTATTTCCAGATTGTAATAGAAACAGCATAGCAGCAAATTGTTACTATATCTGTCCAAATAATCAATGCCTTTGAATAAGTAGATATTTTGGCAGATTTGGAAAAACTCAGTATTGTTCTTCACAAATACAGGATTATTGCTTTTCCCTCTTTGATTAAACTGCAAATCCATTATTAACTCATGGTCAGTGGAACCTTGGTTGTAATAATTGTAGATTTACATGCTGGTCAGACAATGGTTGTACTAAAACCTGCATCTGTGGGAAGTTTACATTGAGAAGACTGTTTCTCTTTGGACCACATTTGCAGGAAGTAGTGCCCTCAGTGAAAGGAAAACTCCCAATTAAATTCGTTCATTATCACCATCTACTAGAACGGAGTGGCTGCCTATGGGATAAATCTAAGGAGAATTTTACTCATTTCTAATCAAGTGACTGGCATGATTCATTACTTAATAACCAGTTTATTTTTGCTTCTGTCTGTACTTCAGATGAATATTTGGAACTGGATTATAAGGAACACTTTGCCTTTATATTTTTTCTTTTACTCTCAGTATTATTACCCTGAGTGTGACTTCCACACAAGTGGAACAGAGAGACTCTGCAAGCAAGAGACGGAGTGAGAGGCTTTCCTATTCTGTGGGTCACATCTGAAGGTCTAGGGTCTTTGCGGCCTTGTGCTGAGGCTCTCTTCTGGGAGGCTCTGTCTCTGCTCACATCTCCTTGGCTTTTAGTTGTGGCCGAAACCAGCCTGTTGCTCTCTGTCTGAGAAAGCTGAGTCCTGGCTCTCCTGTCTTCAATTCAGCAAAGACCTTTGGGAAATCAGAAAACTGCTGACAGAACTTGTAAGACAACATCTCAATGGAATGCAGACTGAGCCATATGTAAAGTCTAAATAATTCAGATTTCCTTCTATGCAACTTATATTGAATTATAATAGATCTCACTGGGAGACTCAGAACCTAACAGTTAGACTGTGTTACCCACACTTGGGCTGCTACAAGAGTAGCTGTAGAAGTGTGATTCTCCATTGATGACAAGATAGGTTATTGCCCTAATTGCCCTTTAGCACATTTCTACATTATGAAGTTGTCATTAGAGTTTAGTGTGTAATTTCACTTTAAAACACTCAATCACTTAAAGTTAAAGAGATCTCTGAAAAGAATCTCTCAGCACTAAAATAGTTTAGATCTTGGCCTGAGTGGTGCAGACTAAATTACATTATTTCAACCATCTGATTTCCTCAAGAAGAGATTCAGAGTAGTGTCAACTGTAGTGTCAGTCAGAAACATTTCAGTTCTCCAAATTATAAGCCACCAGCCTTGGACACAGTTTTTTAGAACTCTCTGCTTTCTTCTCATGACTGAAGTGTGTATATCATTGTTTAATCAGAAGATGAACATTTTGAAGTTTCAGATCCACATCAGAGGATTTAACTATAAATTGCCAGTGAGCAACCTTTAGTCAGAACTCCTTGAGACATGATATTTGAGAGATACAGTCTAGAGATCAAGTGTAATATAATTCTTCTTGTTTTTGTAAGTTTTATCTCTGGATGGTTAGATCATCAGATGCTAACACATGAACTATGTTGTCTTCAGTTACGTTGTTCACTAGAGAGATGCATAAATCAAGTTTAATGCTGTACCCTTGCATTTTATAGAAGACAACCATGAGAGGTATACACGTGCCATATTTCTGATTGCAGGTGTCAGCCTTCATCTTTTTTGAGAGGACCCACACGATAAATTCCATTTATGAATTCAGTGCCCGTAGCCAGAAAATACTTGCCTCTTCACACGGATCACTATGTTTCCTTTTTATCAGGCCATGAGAAATATGCAACCAGTTTGATTCTTGTTTACTTATCCTGCCAGGAAGATCATCATTAAATTTAGAGCTCAGGGAGGGATTTTTAATAAACATTATTTTTCTGCTTCTTTCTTCTGTAATTCTTTCTGATATTTTATAAACTTGTAAGTATGTAGTGTCATGCTTTTGGGGAGTTGATATGGCATAAATTATATATAAATCTCCTTATCAGTTATCTGTGTCTTTCCCAGCTTTAATGTCTGTTGGGTGTTATATCTTACAGGATACAAGGTATCACATTCCAATCCAGATTTGAATGATAAATTATATTGCAAAGGAGTCTATTGTTATTTTATTTTACCTTACATTAAATCATCAGATCCAAGAGCAGTTTTATTTTTGACCTTTGTTTGATTCCAGTCCTTCAGCCACAAAATGAAGACATCATTGGTCATTGCAATGTTGCCAGCCCTCTACTCTCCACTTATTCCTCCCTCAAGCAAATTCTTCCCAACTGCATTTTCTAAATAGGCAGCCCACCTAATTTCACCATCTCCTGCTGCAACTCCCTTCTGAGTTGAGCACCTCCTTCTTGTTTCTTGCAGCTCCACATGGCCTGGATCTGTGGCGAGTCCTGAGACCAGCCAGGGTGGATGGAAGAAGGCCAGTGAAGTTGTTGTGGAAGGTGATCTCCCTCTAGGTTGTTTATTTACTCTTTCTGTGTAAAAACCTTAGTTTCTTACACCTCCAAGAACTGTGATAATTGAAATTTTAACTTAATTTCATTCCCTAGAGGCTTTATTCTGTCCCAGATCTCAGAATGGTTTCCCAGCTCATTAAAATCCTATATGTCATTGTGTAGATGGCCTGAATGTGCATTACAGACCCTGGTTCTTTGGTCTGAAACATTAATAGTAGGGATGGGTACAGAGTGCAAGTGCAGGAAGCACCTTGATCTTCTGGAGAAGAAATCACTGACTGGCCTCCAGTAGAAGGCAATGTGAACTTCTATAGCCCTCACCCCCACATTGGAGGAGAGCACTGACTTGGGGCCAGCTTCCTAGTGTGTCCTCAGGTCATCGCCAACATATATTACATGTGTCCCCTTAAGGACTGGGATAGTGGGGTGCAAGGACAGAACAGGGGCCAAATGGTCCTTTGTAGGATGGAGACCTGGCAGTGAGGACCGAAGGAGAAGCCAGACGGGTAATACAGAGAAGAGGAGGAAGGAGAAGCAGATGACAGGAGAAGGTAAGAAAAGGAGGGAAAGAGGGAATAAACAGGACAGGAAAAGGGCAAATAGAGGGGAAAAAAACCCAGCCAGGCAATAGGAGAGGGAAGATGGGAAAGCTGAGGGGAAGGAGAGAGGTAGGTGAGTGAGATGCCAAAACTCTTTAATGTGTTTCCAAAATTCTCAGGAAATACTCACCATGTTATCCCATTCTTGCCCAAGTCCAGGCAAGTTTAAAATCCTTCTGGAAATGGAAAAATCACCCTACTTTTTCAAACAACGTCCCAATCCCAATTACTTCGGGGTTGGAGCATTCTTCTTCCTTTCTCCTCTCCCTTCGCACCCCGGGGCTGAGGAACACCCTCATAGGCAGCAGGGAGCAGGCAAGGACAAGCACAGCCAGGGGTGTTGGGAAATCTCTGAGACCCAGATCCTGTGGATTCTTTCTCAGTTATCAAGGGTGGAAACCAATGGCTCTGTCAATATATTTTTGAGGAAGGAAAACAAACAATGGCAAATACCACACGTGGCCAGCTCCATATGTGGCCAGACCTGTGGTCAAATATGCCAACCTGTGAAGTAGGTGAGATGGACTTCAATGCCCTCCTCCTTCTCCCCCTCACCTGGGGACTGGTCTTCCTTTTGTTTCAGTAGGGGAGTTTTCTAAGAATTAGAGTTGCTTAAAAAAGAATAAACTAAAACTAGATAGTGGTGATTATTGTACAACTCTTTGAATATACTAAAAGCCACTGAATTGTACACTTGAAAAAAAGTGAATTTTACAGTGTGTGAATTATGTCTATAATAAAGCTTTTATTTATTTATTTATTTATGAAAGATTTATTCAAGGAGATGCACACTTCATAGACAAAGAGTGCAGTCTGTCTCAGAAGGCCAGAGAGGCCATAAGGTATGGGGGTGGGTGTTTAGTTTGAAGTAAAAGTAGATACACACTCCATAGGCAGAGTGCAGGCCATCTCAAAAGGCAAGAGAAAAGGCCTAGGAGATACACATTCCATAGGCAGAATGTGGGCCATCTTACTCAGAAGGGAGTCTAAAGCTGTTATTCAAAAAAGAGAACAAGTTGTCTTGAGAGATAAAAGGCTTCCAGTCATGAGGAGGGTTCTACCTGACCTTCCTTCTAGGTTTTATGTTATGGGAGGCTGTAAAGGAAATTCCTGAACTGGGAAGGCAGTGGGACAAAATGACTTCTAAAGTCTCTCTGACCTTACGTTCAGTCAGTCCACTCCACTGATGTGTGTTATCAATAACAGAAAGACAACAACTGGAAAGCCTTATCATTCTTGGGAAATACTCAGCCTGCTGATCTCTAGGAAAACATCTGGTTAGTGGGCTTAGGTTCAAGGCTGAAAAAGAGTTTGGCTTAGAGCCCCTGGGGTCACCCTACGTTTCTCACCAAGGATTTGGGTCTGGTGGGGCAGCCTTGAATGTTTTAGTCTTCTTAGCTGGAATGCCTGGTCCACAGAAACTTGCTGCCTCCTCGGGGCGGGGGGTGGGGGGGAATTGTGGAGATAAAAGGCAAGGGCCCAGATACTCTTCAACCCCTGGATGCTTCCAGGAAAGAAATAGCCCAGAGCTAGAAGAGACTTGGGATTGTCTCAGAGGTCATGCTTCAGTGTTTAAGTTTATACCCCTCTGCCCATTTGGGGAAAGATACAGTCAAAAGGAAAAGGGGGATGGCTTGCTTGCATTGGTTTGGGCATCACCCTAGTTTAGCTTCATGGAATTCGATTTATGACAAGGGTTGGTACCAAGGGACCATTTTAGAAATCCCCTCTTCTGGCACCTGAGGGGTTAATCTCGTGGCACAAGGTATGTTATTCATTCCAGAAAGGTAATTACCTGATTGTAGTTTAGCACGTAATAGTTAACATTACCTCCCACCCCTGATCCCCACCATTCATCACTATCTTAATGCCTTTCTTTATTTTTGGCAATAAATTTTGTCTTCTTTGTATTCAGAAGGCAAAAGGAGCCCCTGTCCTGGAAAAAACACTTGGCTACAACATATGGTACTTTCCAGAAAACAGCACTAACCTCACAGAGACTATAAACACCACTAACCAGCAGCTTGAACTGTATCTGGAAGGCAAGGCCTACTGGATATCTGTGACTTCTTATAATTCTCTTGGAAAGTCTCCAGTAGCCACTATGAGGATTCCAGCTGTTGATGAAAAGTGTAAGTATAGCATAAACATCTTATTTAGATGCCTGGCTCCATCCAGTTGGCCAAGGAGTGGTCCCTATCCTCTCAAAGGTTGGTTTCTCTCAAGTCAAAATGAAAATGAAGATGTTTTAGGATATGGTGGGGAGACCATTATCTTCTGGTAATTAATGGGCCTCTTGAGATAGTTTCTTTGAAACAAAGCCTGTGTTGAAAATCAGAGGCTTCATAAATCATATGGTACAAACTCATAATCCTAGAAGTGCTACATTCAGCTTGTATTTGTTTTTGGTCTGAGTGATTGGAAGCTGAGTTGAGCTCTACAAACTGTCAGATCTGCCACATTTGCCCTCAGCAGCTGAAACCTCTCTTTCAAAATCTTCCCCTCACAGTACTGACCACATCCAGCCTTGGTTTGCTCACTCTCCCATTTTCTTCTTTTCCCCCTTTCATTTGACTATCAGAATTAGGAAAATTTCTAATGTTCATACTTCCCAATAACTTGTGTAATCAAAATTATACTTCTGATTAAGTAATTTTTAACATTTTACTACTTCCAGGCAAATTCATATTTTATATCCTATTTTGGAATAAAATAGCTTCTTTGATTCTTATTCAAAGAATTGCAGGCAATGGATTTCCTCTTCCCTGCTTTATTTTTCTCTACAGATTTTACTATTTCTCATCCTTTGGATTTTCTCATTTACTTTGTTTATTACCTCTCTCTCCCTCAGTAGGATGCATGTTCCATGAGGGCAGAGATTTTTGTCTGTTTTTCTCCTCCTCCTTCTCCTCTTCCATTTCTGATGCCTATGGCAGGCATAGTGCAGTTAGCAGAGACAAGGCGCTTACTCAGTAACTATTTGTTGAAACACACCATAGCTGGGATATGCACTCTCCAATTCTCCATCTCTCTCTATTTCTTAGACCTAGAGTGGTTCTGAGATTTATACCTCCAGGTCTAGGCTTGTCTGCCTGTGCTTTCTTCTTTATCTTTTCCTTGAACTTAACCATTTCTTTTTTTGCCTCATTTTAGAACTCCTAGATATACACTTTTGTGTGTTTTGAGCTATACTTGGTATTATTTTAGTTAGTATTTAATAGTATTCCCCACAGTCCTTAGTTCCTGGCATTCTAGTTCCTGCCTGTCCAATACCCCAGTGATGAAGTTTCTGACAAATGCATATGTCACTGAGTACACATTCTTTGTTAATAGAGGTATTGCTGAATAGTAATCTGTTTTCTGGTGTGACTCCATAGTGGGAGACAGTGAAGAGTAGGGGATAAAAACATAGGCTTTGGAGTCTAGCAGCCTTGGGTTTAAATCTTTCCTGCATAAACTTTGGGCAAATTATCTAAACTTTCTAAACCTTAGCTACTTGTAAGATGGGCTATTATTTAGTAATATGTATCTCATTGAGCTATTGTGAGGATTAAATGAGATTGTATATGTAAAGTGCTTTGTCTAGTGTTAATTATTATTATCATTCTTAATAAAACTTCTAATTACATTTCTATTTTGCATGGGTTATCAACTTTAAAAATACTATGTAATATACTTTAACTAAGATTATGCTAAATTCACCTAGGGCTTTTTGTTGTTTTTTTTTCTAATTCTGAAGCTCCTTGTTTTGTGTCATGAACATCGGTGTAATCATCGGCTTTAATGGTCCCAAACCAGGTGTAGGCAAACTATAGCTTGTGGGCCAAACCTGGCCTGACACATGTTTTTTGCAAATAAATTTTATTGGGACACAACCACACCTTTTTGTTTACATACTGTCTATGTCTCCCTTTGTGCACAATGGCAAAGTGAAATAATTGTGACACAGGCCTGCAATACCTAAAATGTTTACCATTTGGCCCTTTAAGCCCCTTTACAGATCCCTGTCCTAGACATATAAGAAAGTAATAGTCTACAGAATCTTGTTTAAGAAAGCAGAGTCAGCTGCAGAATAGTTATAATAATAATAATAATAATAATTAATAATAATAATAATTATAAGTATGACAATATTTAAGTAAGTATAATTATCAAATATTATCCATTAGGATTTGTCAGGCATGGTGCTAGGATGACACAGGTTAATCTAATGTTATCCCTGAAATGACCCATGGGGTAGATACTATTAGATTCATTTTATAGATGATGAAGCTGAGATTCAGGAAGGCTTTTAGTAGTCTCTCAGGTAGAATTCAAGTCCAGGTGTGCAAGATTCCAAACTTGTATAATATACCTCATCCAGAACCTTGGACTTGGTATTAACACAGTGACTTAGAAATCTGGTCACAGATGCCATGTAACACTGAATTTGTTATTTATCTCTGTGAGCCTCCGTTTTCCCACCTTTCAAACAAAGAATTGGAATAGATACATATTCAGGTTCCTTCTGGGAAGAATACCCTCTGAGTTTAGGAGACCTTAGCCACCACGCAGCAGGAGTAGTCTGAGGCTAACAAAGCGCAGCCACTTGTGTGATAAGGGGCTGAGGAGGGCAGTGGGACCAAGCTGGGGTAGAGTTCAGGCTGGGCTAGGACAGCTGGCAAAGGTGAGGCACCATCAGCATCTGGGAATGGTATTTGATAGGCACAGAGAGACTGCAAAACACAAGAAATTAATGGTGTTTACAGTCAAAGTCCCTTTCTCCTCCCCCCAGGAGGGATGTGTGTCTCCTACCACACTTGGGGGTATACTGTATTTGGAGAAATTGCTCAAAAAGTTATTGTTCACAGTGTTGTGTCAATTTCTGGTGTACAGCACAACATTGCAAACTGACTATACTTCAATTTTTAAAAATATGTATATATAAAGCCTTAGGGCAATCTATTAATTGTCTTTAAAAAAAAAAGTTATTGTTGAGTGGTGAAAGCAGTTAGTTGATGTTCAGTAGAATGTTGATTTGGAAACATTTCTCTCAGCACCCCTTACTGCTGCCCAGGACTTTTGTCTTTCGAGGTTGACTCACGGCTGGATTGAGCCGTTTCCACACCCACTGTGGTCCAGAGCCTGGGCTTGTTTCCTCTTTTTACCTAGTCCTTGTTCCGCAGAGCTCTGATGTTGGTAAAGAGAAGGAGTGTGGGCTTAGCAACAAACATTCACTCCCGTCTTCAGTTAAGGATTTGTGTACAAGTGATTTATTAGGAAACATCAGAGAGGCTAGAAAAGGAATTGAAGAAACTGAGGCCAAGGAAGAGGAGGAGGCTGAACCAAAGGTGCTGGTTGATTTTCCCAGGTCTTTCCAGCAAACACCATAGACTGGGTGGCTTCAAACAATAGAAACTCATTGTCTCATTGTTCTGGAGGTTAGAAGTCTGAAATCAAGGTGTTGGCAGGGCCATGCTCTCTCAAAAGCCTCTAGGGGAGGATCCTTCCTTCCTTCTTTCAGCTTCTAGAAGCCCAGGCTTTCCTTAGCTTGAAACAGCCTAACTCCAATCGCTGACTCATTTTTCACATGACCAGCTTCATGTGTGTCTCTGTCTCTGCATCCAAATTCCACTTTTCAGGAGACCAGTCATATCGGGTTAAGGGCCCACCATCTTACCTTAAAGACTTAGGTCTGTAAGTATGACCTAATTTCCAAATACAGTTACATTCTGCAGTACTGAGGAGATATCTTTGGTGAGGGGGAAGGAGGGGTACAAAATTCAACTCATAACAGGTGCAATCTGAGTTGAAAGTCCTGGGGAGGGTGGTTCCATTTTGACCTGGCAGGGGGACTTTGCAGTGTAAGTTACATCTCAGAGTTATTCCAGCCAGGCAACATGTAAAAACAGTCAGAGGGAATCTGAGAAGGTCAGGGAGCACTAACAGCTACAAGAGGCTGGGTGAGGTTCCCAGTGCTCCAGTAATGACTTCCAGCCTGTCTGGAACAGCGACTGAGGATGCTGAGAGGCTATGAGGAGAAAGCAGGAGCCCTGGGGGTTAGGTGGGGTTGATTTCCTGGCTCTGCTTCTTGCCAGGGCCTCTGCCCCTACTCCAGCTTTACATTTTCCCCACACCTCAGTTTATCTTCCTCAGAACTACCCTTTCAGGTTGACAAATTACCTGGCCTTACTTCTAGAACTAGAAACTAGAGTGCCTCATAAAGGCCCACAAACTTCAGGAAAAGGATTCATAAATTGTGGCCTTCAAGAACAGAGACTACTAAATATGCACACAGCCTGCTGGAGCTTTTTGCACAGAAATAGTAGGATTCTGTACCCCCGTCCCCAAGGCCAACTCTCTACCCTTGCCTAGGCTTCCAGCTTCAAGAGGCGTTTTGGTTTCTTTGAAGGACTCCATCTCCTCTTCTGCCCTCATCCAGGACTGTCTTTGATGTTCATTTCAATATACTTCCTGTGGCTGCCAGTTTTGAAGGTCCAGGTGTGTTCCGACTGGTGAGGAGTGGATTAGAGCCACCCACTGTGGTCTCCGGAACCCCACTCCTTCATGCCTTCCTTCTCTGCCTCCCTGGGCCCCCTCGTTCTCTCCTCTGCATGTTCAGAACATGTTCAATAAAGGAGCACTTTGATTCTGATTAAATCCCACATCCTGGATCTGAAGCCACTGTTCAACTTTTCTGTTAAAGAAATCCTGTGGCCTATTTCCCCAGATGAGTTTTCTGCTAGGCCTGCAGAAGAAGTAGTCATTTTTATATTAGTTCACAGCTAGGTGCTTTGGATGAGGGTGTCTGTATCTTTCTGCTACAGACACAATTCTTACTGCCTGTAGGGTAGGACTCCATAACCAGGTTGTGTAGGGCTAGCCTAGACAGTTGAAATTTGAAGCCATCTCTCTGGTATGACTTTAGGGTCACCATCTCCCAGCTTCCCAGCCACAGAATTCCTGGTGTCTGAAATTCTACCTTTAGAGGGTCATTCTTTTTCTCAGGCTTGCTTTCCTTTGACTTGTGGAGACACCAGAGCTACCCTGTAAGACTTCTTAGTCATCAGCTCTCTAGTGAGATGCTTTTCTGGAAACGCATAAATTGGGAGGAGGAGGTGGTAACAAAAGATTAAAAAGGCACTTAATCATCAAATGTTGGGGGTAAAGAAAAGGAATACAATAAAAGCAGTGAAAACAGCACCATCAGGGAAGGCTGCATGGAGATTCTGAACTCCGCCCCTCTTTACAGTTTGGGCAATGAATGGATGCTGATGCAGTTGGTGACTTTGGAGGATGATTTGGGTAGTTGTGAAGCAGTCTTTTTCTCTCCTTTCAGCGGTTCAGTGCATCACAGCCATGCAGGCTTGCCTTACTCAGGACCAGCTGGTGGTGGAGTGGCAAAGCTTCACTCTGAAGGTGGACAAATGGGTGGTTGAGTGGGTCCCAGATTTGGACTCAGAGCCCTCACTCATTTCCTGGGAATCTGTGTCTCAGGCCAAGAACTGGACAATAAAGAAAGGTAACCATTCTGGACCCTATAAATTCCTGCTGTGTAGGAGACAGTTTCACTTTCATCAGTTTTTAAATCCTTAACCTTGGCTTCAAAGCTGTAAAGGTGAGTAATACAATTTGACAAGCCAGTGCAGGCTTACTGAAGTGTAATTTTTGGCATTTCCCAGCAATGCTGGAACAGAAGTGATGGGTATCACACCAGATACCTGGAGTGTTTCCAGGTAGAAAACACTATCTCAACACCTACCATCAGAGAGCTCGTCCCAGATATCTTGATCATGGGATTAACACCAGATTTTGTATCCCATCTGTCCTACCCAGGGCACCTCCTTCAGTTCTGGTTGCTTGTTTAAGAGCTAGACTCCCTCCCCACATGACTGATACAGGGAGTAGCCTTCTTTTTGAGAAAGTTCCTGCACCATGTACGACATGCAAGTGAGGCTTTACCCTCCCAATTCGGTCAGTCCAAACATTTCTTAATACTTAATAGCATCCATATGAAGAATCATGCTTATGTAGGGATGCAGACAGACAGAAGAGCTAAACTTTATGGTATCTGAGTTCTCTAGGGGCATATGCTATTGAGAGAAGGATTCAGTTTATTCTGCAGTGCCCCTAAATCATACAAGATCAGCGATGGAGGAGAGACTGGCTCTCTTGCTTCTCCCTTCCTGAGTGGCTCTGTCATTTTGTCAGAGTGGTGCAGGCTTAGTTCTAAGAATTAATTTTAAAATGTTAGAGCTGGAAAAGATGTTAGAGACCATCCAACCTAACCTCCTTATTTTCCAGAGGTGGAAACTGTAGAGAAATAGAATATCTTGTGTAAGTCGAGGGCTAAAACTCTTAGTCTATCATCCTACTATGCTGCACTCTGCACTTAATGCTTATTTCTCTCTTTTCAACAGATGAATTAAAACCTTTCCAGTGCTACAACATCTCTGTGTATCCAATGTTGAAAGACCAAGTGGGTGAACCATATTCCATCCAGACTTATGTCAAAGAAGGTGGTATGTATGGACAAGGTCCTGTGGGGAAAAAAAACACTGGGCTTGTCCAACCTTCAGACAAGGCTGTGAAGGCCTACAGCTCATTCAGTGTTGCTGTAGCCTTCATCTGTGCTGCGCCTTTAGCTCATACTAAGCTATGTATGTTTGACACAAGTGTGGTCAGATTCACTAAACTTTAAAGCTGGGGTAGCCATTGGAGGTTGTCGAGTCCAAGCCCCTCGTTTCACAAATGGAAAATTGAGGCTCGGAGAGGTGAGATAACTTGCCAAAAATTGCAAAGAAACTTAGTAAAAACAGTGCTGTAAACAGAAACAACATTTAGTTAAGACCAATTTAGGGATCCTACAGAGTTAATTGTAAGTTGGAGATGCTAAAAAATGATTTTTAATTATGCAGCAATAAACAAAGGATTTATTGGTGAACTGCTCAAACTTCATTTTTATCTTTTTGTAAGTTAACATCTTCCAGATTCAACATTAGAAAATATATCCTGTCACTCAAAGGTAGTCCATGGAGGCATACTCTTCAAATGTTTGATAAGAGCTATTATGGATATGAATGAAAGAGCTGGGTGCCAAATTAGAGTGAGAGGTCTGTAAGAAAGTACTTTTCCTCTGGTTTTTGGCACTGCTTCTCTTCCTGTTCAAGATGGATGGCTCCAGACAACAGTTTTCTTGAACAAGTTGATCCATCAGTTCCCTTTCTGCCACCACCTCCCACCTCCAGCACTGATTATGGTCTGAGTACTGGCCAAAGACGTTATGGGAGAAGGATCTGCTGGGTGTGACTCAGTGTTTATTGTTTATCTCCCTGTCCTATAAAGCTCCATCAAAAGGTCCCATGACCAAGGTGGAGAACATTGGGGTGAAGACAGTCACAATTACATGGAAAGAGATTCCCAAGAACAAAAGAAATGGTTTCATCAGCAACTACACCATATTCTACCAAGCTGAAGATGGAAAGGAATTCTGTAAGTAAGCTTATAGCTAAGTTGAAAGAACCTCCAAGCCCCAGATAGATGCTCTGTATAGACCTGCTGTAGGGGTGGCTCCCATGGCTGATACCTGGCCACCTTGCATGAATCCCTTAGCCTCTTTGACCTTGTCTGAAAATGGGGCCAAGGGCACCTGCCTCTTGAGTGTTTTAGAGTCAAATGGGAGTGAAATGATTGTACCTGAGAGCCCTGTAGGAACCAGAGGAATTGATATAATTGTGCCAGTCAGGCTGTGAACAGGTGGGCCTCCTGGGAGCTTCCTTACCATTATTCCAGAGTGGGGAAGGCCCAAATTAGAGAGTGGAGAGGGGACAGACCCTGCTTGGTGGCACTTACTTTGCTGCAGGGTGTTTTACCATGATTCCTACTGCCCACTGCCTGTTTCCTGAATCTACCATGTCCTGACATCATAAATTCTGGGCTAGGCTTAGATTCCTGTTTAGGCTAATTTTTTTTGTTGTTGTTTCATATCTACAAAAACATACAACATAAAATTTACCACTTTAAACATTTGAAAGTATAGAATTTAGTGGCATTAAGTATATCTATAATGTTGGTCAACTGTCACCACTACATATTTCCACCCCAAATAGAAACCCTGTACCCATTAATCAGTCACTTCCTTACCCTCATCCCACAGCCCCTGGCAGCCACAAAATTGCTTTCTGTTTCTGTGGATTTACCTGTTCTGGTGTTTCCTACAAATGGAATCAGGCAACATGGTCTTTTACGCCTGGCTTCTTTCACTTAGCACGCTGTATTCAAAGCTTATCCATGCTGTAGCGTGTATTAGTGCCTCATTCCTTTTTATGGCTGAATAATTTTCTACTGTATGGATAAACAATCTGTTTATCCATTCATCAGTTGATAAGACATTTGGGTTATTTCTATCTTTAGCCTCTGTGATTAACACTGCTATGAACATTGGTGTGTAATTACCTGAATCCTTGCTTTCAATTCTTTGTGGTATATACCTAGAAGTAGACTTGCTGGGTCATATGGTAATTCTAGTTTAACTTACTGAGGAACCATCAAACTGTTTTCCATAGTAGCTACACCAATTTACATTCCCACCACAATGCACGAGAGTTCCAATTTCTCCATATCTTTACTAACACTTGTTATCTTCCATTAAAAAAAAAAGTATGCCTATCCTAGTGGGTGTAAAGTGTTATCTCAGTGTGGTTTTCATTTCCACTTCCTTTATAACTAATGATGTTGAGCATCTTTGTATGTGCTTGTTGTCCATTTATATATCTTCTTTGGAGAGAGTCCTTTCAATCTCTTTGTTTATTTTTAAATTTGGTTGTTTGTCTTTCAGTTGTTGAGTTGTAAGAGTTTTTTTAAAGTATATTCAAGATACAAGTTCCTTATCACATATATGATTTGCAAATATTTTTTCCTTTCTGTGAGTTGTTTTTTCACTCTCTTGGTAATATCTTTTGATGTATAAAAACCTTCCATTTTAATGATGTCCAGTTTAATCTATTTTCTTTTGCTGCTTGTGTGTTTGGTGTCATATCTAAGAAATCATCACCAAATTCAAGACTGTATATATTTACCGTATGTTGTCATCTAAGAGTGTTATAGTTTTAACTCTTATATTCAGGTCTTTGAGCCATCTTGATAGGCTAATTTTAGTCAGAACATGGATAGAGGGATTGTGTTATGAGATGGGCAAGCCTGGAAGTCCAGGTTCCAATGCTCTTATTTCAGTGCTGCTAAAGCACAGTTTTCAGTTGGGCTTAGCTCTGGTGTTTGACTTCTGTATTTTTCCTTTAGCCAAGACAGTCAATGCCAGCATCCTTCAGTATGACCTGGAGTCCCTGACACGGAAGACCTCTTACACTGTTCAGGTCATGGCCAGCACCAGTGCTGGGGGAATCAATGGCACCGAGATAAACTTCAAGACATTGTCAATTAGTGAGTATTTCCTTCAGTCCCTGGGAATGTCTCCTTGGCATTTCCTTTAGGCCAGTTGTAGACGATGTTTGCCAAACACAGGGGAAGCCAAATGAAAGGGCTTAATGAGAAGAACCATCTGCTCTCTGACTCACTAGTCTTTCTGGAAGGCATATGGGTGAGGAGGGAGTAAGGAGAGTAGGCAAATGGAGACTGAATTTGGAAAGACTGGTCATTTTACTTCTTCCTCATGGGTATCCTCTATCATCATAGGAAAGAAGGATCAAATTAATGCCAACTTCACTCTTGCTCCAAACCATCTCCCACCTCTAGACTGTCTCCAAGTTCATAGCCACCTCTTTCTGTGAGTCAGAGGATACTGTACACTTAACCTCATCATTTGTGGAGTTTTTTTGAGCAAAAATGTACATAATGTGTTCTATTGACAGGTTTTATATTTTAAAACAGGAGCAAGAAAAATTTAATAAATACACCAAATATGTAAAATATAATATGATTCACATGATGGTTATGGGGAATATTCAAGAGGAAAAGAAGATGGGATGAGATGGGAAATGGAGAAAGAAGGAAGGAGAATGGGAGAAACAGAGAACCAGTTTAATTTTTCCAAGTCCTTGAGTGACAGAGACTTGATTTTAAGGATATTCTAATACTGTTTTTAAAAATGAAAATTAAAAGTGAAGGAACATTGCAAAATTTGCAATAAAAGCTATAAGGAGTCTGCTTTGAGTATTCTTGAAAGCCTCTTGTTCATCACATTTTCAAAAGAATAAAAACAGCTCATGGTTCTGGAAAATGTGAGTATAGCATGTGTTTTCACATAGAAAACATACTCTGTTTTAGCAGCTAACATTGCCTTTTTGGAATCCTTTTTGATATTGCTCTTTAATATCTTTTAAAATTATGCTGTATTTTCACAACACTAGGCACAAGCTGCATTATCTGCTGGAATTTTCTCTAGAGTCAAATTGAAAACAAGAGCCTGCCTTGGAGCCAAGAAGTTTCTTACCCTTGGTCTACAAACTGTAGATCTCCCTGCTTCTATCTTTGATCCTCTACCATCTGTTCTCCACAAAGTGGTCAGAGTTTAAAATCCTAGACCCCCTGTATAAAACCCACCAATGGCTTCTGATTTTTCTTTTCTTTCTTTTTTTCTTTTCTATTCTATTTATGGAGGTTCTGGGGATTGAACCCAGAATCTTGTACGTGCTAAGCACACATTCTACCACTGAGCCATACCCCCCCCACCCCTTGTTGTATTTTAAGTAAAATCCAGACTCCTTCCCATAGTTTTCAGGATCCTTCGTCATCTGTCCCTTACTGACCTCATCTCCCACCACTTTCTTTTATGTTCCTTAAGTTGTTCCTGCTTCAAGCCTTCTGTATCAGCTTTTCCTTCTGCCTGGAATTCTTTCCCCATGTTTTCTCATGCTGGTTCCTTCTCATTCTTCACATCAGCTCAAATTCCACTTCTCCAAGAAGTCTTCCTTTGCCACCTCTCTAAAGTTGCTAACCCCTTCCCACTTTACCTTAGTTACTCGCTGTCACTTTGTCTTATCTGAAATAATCTTATATTATTTATTGCCTGAGTTCTTGTACCAGAACATAAGCTTCATGAGAGTAGGGATCTTGTATTCTTTGCTTCTTGCTGTTTGTTTTATTACCTAGGATAGTGTTTGGCAAATTGTAAGTGCTCAGAAAATGTTTATTAAATGGATGAAGTTGGAGGATGATCCCGGTGAACACAGTTTCTGTCCGTATTACTCGGGGAGAAAAGAAATGGAATGAATTTGAATTGAGTTGAAAGAAAACTAATAAGGAATGTTTGCTGAAGCTGCTGGAAGAAAAAGTTAATCTTTGATTTTTATTAAGAAAGTAAAGAGCTCAACCTGCTACTGACTTTTGTTGTCCTTTTCCCAAAGGTGTCTTTGAGATTTTTCTTACAGCTTCTCTGGTTGGAGGAGGCCTTCTTATTCTCATTGTCCTGATGGTGGCATATGGTCTCAAAGCACTCAAGTGAGTTTATAGGTAGCAGTGTGAGCCCTCCAAATCAGGGGCGGAAGGCACCATGAGTGGGAGAGGGCACGCTACTGTTAAGGGTGTCCATTCATTTATTGATTTTGTACATATGTATTGAATTTATTATATGCCCTGTGAGATGGCAGATCAGAATTCTGACCAAACAAGAGGACTTTCACCCTCTGCAGCCCATGCACAATGCCTAGGTCTTTCTGAGGCCAGGGAAGCACCAGCTGCCCCACAGGCATTATCTGCTGTTGTTCAGCACCTGAACATACAGCTGGGGAGAATGTCTTTTCTCTGTGTCTAGAGGGAACCCCTGGCAGCAGCAAGGGGCCTCAAGGCCACCAGCTTCTCTCTTGCATGTTAACAAGCCCCAGATGGTGCTTCTGGTTGAGACCACACTTTGAGAATCATTGTTTTAAAGTATGAGTATCTTATAAGGCTTAGACTGTTACCTTTCCTGGGAAATAAATCTCAAAGGAAT